GGACAGACAGATAGGTATTGTTATCATCACATTGTTGCTTCCGTTCTTTTTTTCTATCCTAGTACACAGTTTTTATCTTAACCTATGAGTTCTACACTGTTTTTTCCAGTTCTCCCCTGTTCCCACTGGGAGAGAGGAGAGTGAGCAAAAGGCCGTGTGGGGCTCTGCTGCCTGCCAATCACAGAACCATAGAATCATAGAATCACAAGGCTGGAAACGACCTGTAAGATCATCTAGTCCAACCGTCTTCTCATTACCACTGCTACCACAAGCTCCTAAACCACGCCAAGTTAAACCACAGCACCCAGTGAGTCGTTTCAGTGCTCCTGGAAGTGCCTGGGTGCCCCTGGTTACTGCTTGGGTGCCCTGGGCACACTATTGCTTTCCAGGGCTTGATGCGGCTTGTGCGCCAAAGCAATTGCTTGGGTACCCAGAAAGGCACCTGAGTGCTGTGGGACGTGGTTCTGTGCCCTGGAAGAGGCTCCTGTCCCCCAGTTGCACCAGGAAGAAGAGAATGGAACCAAATAGAAAGGAATCAATGCAATAGAATTGCTGAAAGTGGCCTTCAAAGGTCACCTGGTGCAACTGTCTCACCGCTTTAGGGATAGCCTAAGGTAAAGCCTATTTTTGAAGGCATTGTGCAAATGTCTCTTGAACAGAAACAGGCACGGAACTTCAACCAAGTCAGTTGGAAGCCTTCACCCTCAAGCAAAGCAATTTTGAGTGGTGCTGAGGATGCACAGGAAGCTGGGAGGGGACAGAAGCTTCAACTGGCCAAAGGGACAAAGCCTTTTCCAGCCTTAGTGATTCTCTGATTCTCCGATTCCCTACCCTGTGGCATCCTGCTGAAGAGGAAACTGGGGTGAGGTGGCTGAGGGCATCACCATGCTCGATGAGTGGACAGGCACTGCTAAACTGACAGCGAGCCGCTGCATTGTGCACGGCCTGTTGTGTTTTGTCCTTTTGCCGTTAGACAGCAAGGAAGAACGAGCGCGAGGTGCCTGAGCTGGTGTCTGACAGAGCGTGGCTCAGTTCTCCTTTTCGCTAGAGGATGATGTGGAAAGGCTGCCTGGAGAAGCTGTGGATGCCCCATCCCTGAGGTGTTCAAGGCCAGGTTGGATGGGGCCCTGGGCAGCCTGGTCTCGGCCTCCATCTAGTGATTGGCAAAACTCTGCGAGATGGGGAATGGCTCCCAGTGATCCTTGAGCTCCCTTCCAACCCAACCCATTCCATGATTCTGTTTTGCCATTACTCCAAAGCCCAAGTTAGCCACTGGTCTTCACAAAGAAGTTCCTGTTGTTCTACGTGACTCCATCCTGCTTAAGGGGATGAACCCACTCTCATGATTGACTTCTTGAGAGAGCCCTACCTGAAGCAGTTAGTCACCCAGCCTGCCGTGGATTGCTTATTCTGGTTCATCAGCATACAATGGAGTACTCTAGCTTACACAAAGCTGTACTGTCTTTTAGACCTTCCTGTCTTTTAGAGCTGGCGTGGGGCCCTTCTGCTGGCCAGGGGCTTCGCCATGACCAAGGGCTGCAGCCCACGTCTTGTGGGCGTGATTTCTGTCCCTCTGTCCTCTGCTTCCAACAGTCTAGAAGGAAAGATCTGCCCATTCTTGAAGCGCTTGGAGTCCACAGGCTCCGAGGCAGCGGGAGTCAGTCCCTCCTACTGGGGAGCATCGTGGGGCTTTGGGTCACATTGGCTGCCCTGGTTGGAGTAGATTCAGCAGGAATACTTCCCAGGCACCGTGGCCCTGAGCCCAAGCCCACCATCCCCAAGAAGTGCCCCAGCCCGACACCGTGCCCTTGTGCTCTGCTGGTCCAGTCAGCCTCAGAGGGATGTCCCAAAATATGGGCAGGGAGGCCAAAGCTCTGGGTCAGAGCTCTCACAGGGGTTTAATAGGAACCAATACCGATGTGCAGCATAAAAGCAGAGCAATAAAACTTGGAGGAACTGCATGGCTGTTTCTGACGCCCCTGTGAAAAGAGCTCCTGGCGCTCACGGCTCTCCCGGCGGCACCGACCTCTCCTTTGTGTCTACAGCCAACTTCACAGCAGGGACAGAGTCTCTTGTCCCACAGCTCACATCCCAGAGCTCTGCTGTCGCAGCCCGTGTGTCCAATGGGGTTATGGCATCTCGTCAGCGTCGTCGTAGCCCGTGCTCCCACGGGACAGAGGTGAGGTGTCTCCATCCACTTCGGGGGCCCCGGCACTTCTCCAGGAGCGCAGACTCTCTCCTGCCAGCAGCAAAGACAACTGTTTGCCCCACGGGCCGCTCCTCCTGGGCGGCCCATCACTTTTCTCCTCCGTGGGACATTCAGCCCGTTCTCCCAGTCCCTTTCTCCCCGCGAAACCTCCCGAGGAAAGTTCCTCAACCCATGAGCTGTGGCTCATTGCCGCACCGGGGTCAGCACCCAGCAAGCTGCAGCACTGCATTTCCCTCTCACCTCTGGCAGCATCCCTGGGTCCCCCTCCCTCCTCCTGTGCCCGAGGCACTGGCCAGTCTCCCTGCCCTGGCACAGGAGGCTCTCCAGGCTCAGAAACCTCCCCGGCATCATCATAGCCCTCCACCGGGGAATCGCCGGGCAGAACAGGGATGTCTGTAGGAGAGAGGAGAGCAGTGATAGCAGTGACAAGATCCTCCTCCTCCCATTTCCCCAGGTAGGGCTGCAGTTTGGTCAGGGAGCATTCAAAACAGGAGACCTGCACCCACCTGAGAAACTGTACCTCATTTTCTTCTCCCTCACTGGGCTGTACTCGATCTCCTCGTACACGGCTTCAGAGAAGGGCTCCCCAGATCTCCTGGAGTCTGGGGACAGAGACGAGACCCTGCTGTGCTTCCCCAGCCTCCCTCTGCCGCTTCTCCCCTCACTCCGCCATGAACTCCCCCACCACTGTGCTCTGCATTGCTTGTTGCTGGATGTCAGCGCAGCGACACGGCGCATCCCACGCACCGCTGAGTCAGGACCCACCTCTGTGCCGAGCTCTGGCACTTTGCATCTGCCTTGCCAGGAGGGCCAGGAGGAGGCCAACAAGGAGCCCCAGGACGATGCAGATGATGACAGGCACCGAGACTCTCCTGCTGACGGTCGCGTAGCCCAGCATGGGGTCTGCAGGGGCAGCAATGTGGCAGGAGCAGCACCAGGCCCGTGTGTGAGAGTTGGGGCAGCAAGGGGTAGAGGGGCAGGGAGATGGGGAACCTCCCAGCCCGTGGGGTACATGATGGCCCTCCCCATACATCCACCAGCCCGGTGCCTCTCCCTGGGCATTTCATATCCCAGAAAGAAGCCCCCGTTCTGGGTCCTGGGAGACCCAGCTCCAGTGGGAGGAGATGTTACCTCTTTGTGGGGGGGATGCTGTCATCCTGGGTGCAGCTGCAGAGAAGAGCTGAGCTGAGAGGTGGGTTGGTGGTGCCGGGCAGACCTCTGGCTGATATGCCCAGCACATCCCACCCAGATTGTCCCTTCCTCAAGGCCGGGACGCAGCCCAGCGCTCTGCTCAGCTCTGGGCTGTGAGCAGAGCCTGAGTAAGCCCAGCTACTCACCCGAGCAGTTCACCGCTGCATCTTCCTTATGCCGGCAGGCGCCACCACCCGCAGTGCGGGCCCAGCAGTCCTGCAGAGATGGCTCCGTGCCCCTGCACTCCACCAGCCAGATGGGTCCTGTGCCCTCCCCAAACGCAGCCTCGGCCAGGGCAGACAGCGCAGGGCCGCAGCCCAGCTGCCTGCACGCCACCTCGGCATCCTGCACGTCCCACGAGTCGTCGCACACGGTTCCCCAGGAGCCGCGGTGCCAGACCTCCACTCTGCCTGAGCACCCGTCCTTGCCTCCCACAGCGCGGATCTTCTCCCTGTCTGCAGAGGCGGTGACCTCCCAGGGCCCCGGCACGACCGGGAGAGAAGCGACACAGAGAAGGAGCTCCCACCTGTGCAGCTCGTGGAATTGGGGCACGCGGCTCCCGGCCTCCTTTCCGGCTTTCTCCCTGCAGAAAGAAATGTAGCAGTGAAGGCACCTGCGCAGGGCGGGCCTCTGCTCGCGCCTGGCCGTGACACCTTGGTCGTGGTGAGGGAAGTGGGATCTCGCGCCCGGGTGGCTCGCTTACCATTGCAGGTGATGCTGGCCTCGTCTCGCACGTCGTCATAGGACTGCAGCTGCCAGGGACCGGAGGGACACTGCCAGAAGGAGCTGCTGCTCTCCCCGCACTGCACGTGGTCCAGCCACGCGGTGCCATTCACCCTGCGGTAGCGGTTGTTGCTTTCCAGGACCCCCCCGTCCCCACAGCCCAGCTCCTTGCACACCAGTGGCGCCGTGTAGGGAGTCATCGAGTTGGAGCCGACGCTCCCCCACGTCCCATTGTAGAAAACCTGCAGGCGCCCGGAGCAGCCATCGCTGTTCTCCAGCCTCAGGGCCACGAATTCTGGCAGGAGGAAAGGCCCCAGGGGGAAGTCGCTGGTTGGGGGCCGGGGAGAGGAAGCCCCCCGTGCTCCCCGCTCAGCATCAGGGTGGCCGCGCTGCCCACTGCCCCCAGCTGCACCGGTGGACGGGGCGCCCCCAGACGGGCTTGGGAAGCGGCCTTGGGTGTCCTCAGCCCCCCGGCCTCCCTGTGCCGGGCTCCCAGCACAGACCTGAGCAGACGACTCCCGCATCCTCTTTGTGCCCGCAGTCGTGCTGTCCCCAGGCCTCAGCAGAGCAGTTCCAGAGAGCAGATTCGTCCCCAGAGCAGTTCACGCCATCCAGCCAGATGTGCCCGGAGCCCTGCCCAAAGCGAGCCGAGCCGGCCGCCTCCACGGCCCATCCGCAGCTCAGCTGGCGGCAAACCACGTTGGCGTCGGCCGTGTCCCAGGCGTCGTCGCAGACCGTGCCCCACTGCCCCCGGTAGTAGATCTCCACTCTCCCTGCGCATCGCCCGGCCCCATCCACCAGCCGGACCTGGCGGCTCCCTGCAGCGGGGGGAAGCCCCAGCTGTCAGAGGCCGGCTGCCCGCCCGACCCCGCAGCGGGAGGACGCACTGCTCACCCTGGCACACTACCCCCACGTCCTCCATGATGCCCACGGCCCGGCGCGGGGAGGCGTCGCAGAGGCTCAGGCCGGCCTCGTGGCCGGCACACCGCACCCCGCGCAGCCCCACGGGGCCCGTCCCTCGCTCGGCCCTCGGCACAATGTAGGCTGCCTCTGCCTCCTCGCAGCGCAGCTGCCGGCACACCACGCCGGCGTCCTCCATGCCCCACTGATCATCCAGGACTCTGCCCCACGTCCCACGCTGCAAGATCTCCACACGCCCGTCGCACCGGCTCCGTCCACCCACCAGCCTTAGGGACGCGTTGTGAGGCGGGCCTGCGGGGAGCAGGAATGCCAGAAACGCACACTGCAGGATTCCGCCGGGGACAGGGTCAGCCTGGTGACGCCGTGGGATCCTCATGGGACTTTGGGGTGGCCGTGTGGCAACGAGGCGGAATCCCTGCAGCCTTATCCCGACACACACCTGAGCAAATGACGGCAGCGTCGTTCTCGTGGGAGCACGGAGAGGCCCCCAGGACGGTCACCGGGCACTGATCCAGGCTGCTCTCAGTCCCCTCGCAGTGGAACCAGTCATTCCACACCGGGCCACTTCCTCTCCCAAAATGCCCTCCTTCGGGAACGGACACCGCAAACCCGCAGCCCAGGTGCCGACAGAGAACGTGGGCGTCCATCAGGTCCCAGCGGGAGGCACAAAGGCTGCCCCATGTTCCCTGCACCTCCACTTCCACCCTGCCCACGCACGCCGTGCTGCCGTTCGCCAGCCTGAACCCTGTGAATTGAGGACAGAGGAGGCTGGAGGGGGGAGATCTGCGCTCCGGTTCCCTCAGGAGATGCAGGAGAAGCCAGAGGGACAACACGAAGCCGTTTCCTTCCGCACTGCCTTGGGGCTGCAGAGCACCACATCACCCTCCTGTCCTCACACTCGGCACAGCCCCGTCCTGTCCCCTGCACACGGTCGGTGTCCAACCGCCCTCCCTGAGCCCTTACGTGTGCAGGTGACAGCAGCAATGCTTGTCTGGGCGCAGGGCTGGACCCGAGGGGTCCCCGTGGGGCAGGAGGAGAGGCTGGATTCGTTCCCCACGCACTGCAGCTCTCTGTCCCAGGTGGCACCGGTCCCTTCTCCAAAGGGACTTGCTGTGGGGACGGGCAGGGCTGTGCCACACTGAAGATCTCTGCAGACCACATCAGCAGCTTTGGGACCAAAGTGTGAGTCACAGACAGCTTTCCACCCATCCCCGTCATGGATCTCCACTCGTCCTGAGCAGCGGCTGTCCCCTCCGACCAGACGGACAAATCCTGCAGTGAGCAAAGGCACCCGTGGGGTCCCGGAGCCCTCTGGCAACTCCACGCCCCTCCTCACCTCCACCTCAACTGGGGACCAAGCAGGGCCCAATGCAATTCCCCAGGGACCAGCAGTGGCAGCACAACTGGCCACATATGGTATCTGCTTATTGATCCCCAAATCTGACCTCAGAGGGCAGGAATGGCTCTAGTCCCTCACCTGTACATGTAGCTCCAGCGTCCTCGCCATGACTACAGTCATGTTCACCCCATCCATCGTGTTTGCAGTCAGACAGGGCAGACTCGGTGCCTCGACACTGGACCTCATCCATCCAAATGGGGCCAGATCCTAGCACAAATCTTTCATTCTGTGTAGCACTGATTGCTGACCCACAGCCCAGCTGCTTACAAACCACCACTGCATCATCCTCATCCCAGGAGTCATCACACACGGTCCCCCACTGCTCCTGGTGTTTCACCTCCACTCTCCCATCACAGCGCCCGCTGCCATCCGCCAGCCTCACCTCCGCTGCCCCTTCAAACATCAACATGGGATCTGTCAGGGGAGACCAGGCCCCAAAATGGGGGACCCCCAGGCTGGCACAGTCACAAGATTTGGGGTGGCGACTTCCCATTGCCTGTCTCTACATCTCCATCCCCAGGGCTTTCCACGTTCCCAGGAAGCACCGAGCTGATCCTGAGGATCACCCCAACCCGGAGGATCAGACGCCCAGGCTCCCCAGGGATGACCCTAAGGAGTCTGGATGTGCTCTGGGGATTTTTGTGTGCCGCCATTACCAGCTGGGCCATCGGCACAGCAAGAGCACCGTGCTGGTGAGCAAGGGGTCACAGAAGGATGCTTCAATGTCTGGAAATATCACCAGGCATATAACCAGGGCTGCCATAAATGCATAAATACCAAGTCCTGGAAAATTACGATACACTCATCCACCCAGAGACACAGAATGAAGCACAGGACCCACGCACTTCAGCAACTTCTGCCACAGAATCACAGAATGGCCAGGGTTGGAAGGGGCCTCAAGGATCACGAAGCTCCAACTTGCCACTGCAGGGCCGCCAACCTCCACATGTCGTAGCAGCCCAGGCTGCCCAGGGCCCCATCCAGCCTGGCCTGAGCACCTCCAGGGATGGACGGGGCATTACAGCCTCTCTGGGCAGCTGTTCCAGCACCTCACCACTCTTTCTGAGTTTAAGAACTTACACTGCCCTTGTTTCAGGGGTACTTAGAAAGAAATCTCCTTCCCCCATGGATCTCAGTGACGCCCACTGGCCCTAGGCCAGCTCGGACTGCTGGTCAAGGCAGCTGGCACTCACCTCTGCATGGCTGCACCCAGAGGAGGAGCCACAGCACCTGAGGGCATCGGAGTCCTTCTGTGCCCATCCTGAGCCTCCCGTCCTGCTGGCACAGCCCTGCAGGGCCCAACTCCCTGCTGCAGCTCTTGGGGGCTCTGGGGGACGGTGACAACAGGAGAGCAATATATCTCTGCAGCTGATTACGCAGATGCAGAAGAAGCCAATCAAAGCAGCAGTCTCCTTTTTAGACTTGATCAGAAGTTGTCTCCCCTCCAGGGCAGCCCAGCCCTCCAATGAACTTCTCCAGAGCTGTTCATGACCATATATGAGGGACGGCTCCGCTGCGGGGTCGTGTCGCTGTGACGGGAATCACCGCGGTGGCTGCGGGAGGACGTGGCTCCATCACCACGTCACCACTTGCACTCTGCAGGAGCGCCGAGCATCTCTCGTGCCAGGAACGCCCAACAGGCCAAGATGGGAACGTCCAGCTGGCCCCACGCTGCAGGAACCGCAGGGCTGGGACTGCACCAGGGCCGTGTTCGTAAGGGAGGGGAGCAGCCCCTGGGCCTGCCGCAGACCTGCTGCACCAGGAGCCGTAGCTGGGAAAGGTCCTTGGGCGAGTCAGAGCCCCGTCCTGGAAGTGCCGGCTCACCCGTTCTTCCATGGTGGGCCCCACGCCGGGTCCCAGAAGGAGCTGGAGCTGGGACAGATCCCGCCCTGGCAGCAGACTAGAATCTGCAGGCTGAGTCTAGGGGCTCAGAAGCGTCCCCAGCACTCAGCGCGTCGCCCAGGGGCCGTTATTCCTCACAGAGGATCGGGGGTCGGAGCCCACCCACCGCCGCAGGTGCACAAACCGCAGCCCCGTGTCACAGCGCTCGGGCAGGAAGACGGTGGTTTCCTCCTGGCTCCGTGCCCAGGCCGTCACTGCGGTGTCCCCGAGCCACCTTCACCACGGCTGCACCAGGCAGGGCTGCGGGGGCTGCTCCTTCAGCCTCACCGGCGCAGGGTCCTGACCCCTGTGACATCCCACTGACCGCAACGGCCGCGCGGCGCTGAGACACGTGGCTGATGGCGGTCATGCGGCACAGCTGATGCTGAGAGCTCGTGGGGCACAGGGATGGTATGGAAAACAAAGCACTGCTGCTCTGGGCTGTGTGGGGAAGAGGATATCCATCCCAGCCAGCCCCAGCAGGCATTGATCGCTGGTAAGGACGATGTCCGCTGCGTGACAGACGCTCTTGGTGCGCGTCCTGCAGCAGTGACCAAAGGAGATGGAGCTGGCTTTGTGTTTATGAATTCAGATCTACGTTCCATCGTGTTTACTTACTGGTTTTCCTTATCGTGCCACTTCTGAAGGCTTCAGCCAGACAGCTCTCCTGACATTAACGTTCTCACACTCCGTGTCCGTATAAATCTGTGAATCTGCCCCCTCTCCAGACTCTCTATCCTTTCATCCATGTTACTGCTGACTGTAAAACAACAGAGGATTCAGCCTCTCCTGGATTTCCTTAACAGGGCTTGGCCTCAGGTTTGGCCTCAGGAAGTGACCCTGGTGTTTGGTTTTGCCAGGAAACTGGTGGTGGACTTACAAGCCCCAGCAGAGACAGGAGCACCATCTGAGTATGAGGTGCACAGACAGGCAGCCCAAAAGGAATTCCCACCTGTCAGTGTGTTACCAAGAGGCTTCCTTGTCAATTCTGCTGTTAAGGATGCAGAGAACCAGGCTGGGGTCAGGACACAGCAGGAGTGTGTAGGGTTGTCCCGGGGGCTCCCTGGGGTCTGCCTTGAAGTCCTGGGAGAAGGGAAAATGAGAATGGAAGTGCTGAACCGCTTTCTGTCATCTCTGAGAGGTCTTGGATGATGCGGGAGGTGCCTGAAGGCTGGAGGATAGGCAGTGTCACTGCGGTCTTCAAAAAGGGCAAGAAGGAAGAGCCAGGCAGTTATAGGCCAGTCAGCCTCACCTCTGTCCCTGGAAAGGTGATGGAACAGCTGTGCTGGATGCCATCTCCAGACAACTGGAAGAAAAGGAGGTGATGAGGAGCAGTCAGCACGGGTTCACCAGGGGGAGGTTGTGCTCCACCAACCTGGTGGCCTTCTGTGATGTTGTCTCTGGCTGGGTGGATGGGGGGAGAGCAGTGGATGTAGTCTGCCTTGATTTCAGCAAGGCTTTTGATGCTGTCCCCCACCACATCCTTGTAAAAAAGCTGAGGAAGTGTGGGATAGATGAGCGGACAGTGAGGTGGGTTGAGGACTGGCTGAGTGGCAGAGCACAGAGGGTCATCGTTGGCGGTGCAGAGTCTGGCTGCAGACCTGTAACCAGCGGTGTTCCCCAGGGGTCGGTGCTGGATCTGGTCTTGTTCAACATCTTCATCAATGACCTTGATGAGGGGATGGTGGCCACCCTCAGCAAGTTTGCTGATGGTTCGAAGTTGGGAGGATTGGCTGAAGGCCGTGCTGCCATTCAGTGAGAGCTGGACAGGCTGAGAGCTGGGCAGAAAAAAACCGGATGAGGTTTAACAACAGCAAGTGTAGAGTCTTGCATCTGGGGAGGAATAATTGCATGCACCAGTACAGGTTGGGGGATGAGCTGCTGGAGAGGAGCTCTGCGGAGAGGGACCTGGGTGTCCTGGTGGACGACAGGTCGGCCATGAGCCAGCAGTGTGCCCTTGTGGCCTAGAGGGCCAATGGCATCCTGGGGTGCATTGCACAGAGCGTGGCCAGCAGGTGGAGGGAGGCGATCCTCCCCCTCTGCTCTGCCCTGCTGAGGCCTCATCTGGAGCTCTGCGTCCAGTTCTGGGCTCCCCAGTACAAAACAGACAGGGATCTCTTGGGAAGAGTCCAGCGGAGGGCCACCAAGATGGTGAGGGGCCTGGAGCATCTCTCCTATGAGGAAAGGCTGAGTGAACTGGGTCTGTTCAGCCTGGAGAAAAGGAGACTGAGAGGGGACCTGATCCAGGTCTATCAGTATCTGAGGTGTGGGGGGCAGAATGGCGAGGCCGGCCTCTTTTCAGTGGTGAATGGAGACAGGACAAGGGGAAACAGCTGGAAACTGCCTGCTGTGCTGCATCTGGGAGGGTGAGGGGAAGGAGAGGACCGTGCAGCCCCTTCCCAAAGCCATGCCCGATGCCCTGGCTCGTGCCTCTGAATGGCGGCAGAGGGCTCCTGAGCTCTGTCCCTATGTCGGGCCCCCTCCAGCTCTTCCTCCGGCCATCCCATAACCCTTCTGCCCTTCCTTTCTCTTCCACTTGCAGGGGGTCTGGATTCCCACCTTCGGCACCTTTGACACTGTCCCCAAAGAGGTCCGGACTGAGGATGGGACCGTGACTCTGCAGTGGCCCGTGTTTAACCTGGCTTCAAACCTCACAGCCACGCACCACCTCAAGCCCCACAAGGAGTCCCTGCCAGGTAGGAGGGGGGATTCCACTTTTGCTGGCTTTGTGGACAGGGCAAACGGCCACCGCCTCCATCCTCAAAAGCAAACCTCCCCCTCTGGGGAGCCCGTCCAAACATGGGGCCGTTCTGGCTGATGTCCACCAGAAGCACTTCTAGGGAAGCACTTGTGGAAAACCAACCCTACCATCAACTCTGTCCCTCGCATTTTTCCGTCCTTAGGAAGGTGGAGCCCATGAAATACAGCAGGGCGGCCGCAGCTGCCGCTCTGAGCTGGGAGCGCTTGTTCCGTGTCCGTGACTGTCCTGCCCGTGAGCATGGAATCACAGAATGAGCTGAGCTGGAAGGAACCCCGAAAGGGCACCTCGTCCCACTGCCCCGCGGGGAACAGGGACTCCTACCCCCAGAGGAGGTTGCTCTGAGCCTGGTCCAGCCCCACCTTGAAAGCCCATCCGGGCACCCACCACCTCTCTGGGCAAGATGCTCCGCTGCCTCGCCACCCTTCTGTCAAAAACCTCTTCCTTATATCCAATCTAAAACTTCCCTCCTGCCGTTTGAAACTGTTTCCCCTTCACGTATCCCGACTGACCCTGCAAAAGGCTTCAGAAAGTAGTGTGCTTAATGCAGCATGAAAATGTGCCTGTGAGCAGACAGTCAGAGAGAGCAGCAAGGATTGCTGGAGCGCTGCGTCACACCGCTCGCTGTCTTCTCCTGTCCCGCAGGTTTCAAATGGAGTTTGTAGCCAAACCACCTCCCGCAATACACCGCAAGTCCTCAGGAAGCCTCTCTGGTCAGGAGACGCCAAAGCAAGAAGGCACTTTGCCACCTCTGGACCAGGGCAAGGAAGGTAAAGCAGCTGCCAGTTCCTCCCGGTGGCACGGGCAACATACTGGAGATGGAAATCCCCTGCTGACCATCAGCCACGGTCTCTGATTTGTGTCAGAGCTTCACGCCAGCTCAGCACGGCCTCTTCCCATGAGGAACTGCTGGCCTCTCCCTCACTGAGGCGCTGGGTGTGACGTGCCCTCATCCCTGGCTCTGTCAGGAGGATGTGCGGATCTTAGGCCCTGCCATCCCCCAGTGCAAGGATACAGTCCCCAAAAGCCACCCTGCCACCTCATCATCGCCACCCAGCTCCTCTTTCCCAAAGCCAACACCACAAATGCAGTCCCCAAAACAGAGCTGAATTGCAGAGAGGAGGAGCGGGGCCAGGGATGCTGTCAGGGAGGGTCTGAGGGCGGCGCAGATGGCAGCAGCGGGGGGAGCAGAGCGGCCCTCTGGGCTGTTGTGGGAGCAGGCCTGAGCGCCCCTGGTGAGCGAGCCAAAGAGCTGACGGTGAATCTCCTCTGCCTTCCCCATTGCAGTGAGATTTGCTGGCCGTCCAACCGTCATCAAACGGCTGAGCTCAGACAGCGTTGATGGAGGAGAATTCAGACGGATCAGGGGCTTCCTGCGGAAGGAGAGCTCCAGGTCCAGGTGAGGCTGAGGGCTCCGGGCTGCCATGTGCAGGGTGACCCAACGAGAGCCCATTCCCTACCCCAAAGGGTCCCTGTTTGCGGCCACCCAACCGTCCTGAACGCAGCACCCGCTGCTGGGATGGGGACGCCAGGAGCCCCCGAGCTCACAGGGCTCTCTGGACAAGTCAAGCTGTGGGCTGCAGGTGGGACGCTGGGGTGTGGGGTGGTATGGAGACACAGGGGGGAAGAGGGGCATGTGGGAGCGGTTTGAGGTAAAAAGGGGAGGCGT